ACGCGACAGATCGAGGCAGTGCCGCGCGCAGACCGGAAACGCCCACAATTCACCGTAAATACCATGCAAAATTGGCTCCCCGCTCAGCACTGTATCCATGCCAGGCACTTGGTAAGAACACCCGTTCAAGTGCACCCGCTTAGCGCTGTATCCATGCCAGACACATGGTAAGAACACCCGTTCACGTGCACCCGCTCAGCACTGTATCCATGCCAGGAACATGGTGAGAACACCCGTTCCAGTGCACCCGCTCATCACTGTATCCATGCCAGGCACATGGTAAGAACACCCGTTCAAGTGCACCCGCTCAGCACTGTATCCATGCCAGGCACATGGTAAGAACACCCGTTCAAGTGCACCCGCTTAGCACTGTATACGTTCAAGCGCACCCGCTCACCACTGTATCCATGCCAGGCACTATAGACCATTTGGATTTTATATGGCTTTATATATATGTAGTTGGTAAAGTTTTGGGATATATATATATAAAGGCTATTTGGATTTTAGATGACTCTATTTATGTAGAGTTGCTAAAGTTTGAGGGTATATATCTGTGTATGGACTGTTTGGAATTTATATGACATTATGTATATTGAGTTGCTAAAGTTTGAGGGTATATATATATATATATATGTATAGACTGTTTGGATTTTACACGGTTTTTACATGTGTGGTTGGTCTTCTCTGCTTTGGAACTGTGTTTTTCTTGCAACATGCAAAGTGTGTTCGTGTGGAACTGTAGCGTTTGGGACGCCGTTTTTGTGTAAAATAGCGTCCTGAGAAATCTCCTGCTTTGGATTCAGTGATGTTAGAATGCATTGGTTTTTGCAGTGCAAAAGCTCCTTGTCACGGGGCGGGGCGTTGGTGTGCGCGGCCAGACGACCGGTTGGACCGTTGTTGTTGTTGTTGTTGTTGTTGTTGTTGTTGTTGTTGTTGTTGTTGTTGTTGTTGTTGTTGTTGTTGTTGTTGTTGTTGTTGTTGTTGTTGTTGTTGTTGTTGTTGTTGTTGTTGTTGTTGTTGTTGTTGTTGTTGTTGTTGTTGTTGTTGTTGTTGTTGTTGTTGTTGTTGTTGTTGTTGTTGTTGTTGTTGTTGTTGTTGTTGTTGTTGTTGTTGTTGTTGTTGTTGTTGTTGTTGTTGTTGTTGTTGTTGTTGTTGTTGTTGTTGTTGTTGTTGTTGTTGTTGTTGTTGTTGTTGTTGTTGTTGTTGTTGTTGTTGTTGTTGTTGTTGTTGTTGTTGTTGTTGTTGTTGTTGTTGTTGTTGTTGTTGTTGTTGTTGTTGTTGTGTTGTTGTTGTTGTTGTTGTTGTTGTTGTTGTTGTTGTTGTTGTTGTTGTTGTTGTTGTTGTTGTTGTTGTTGTTGTTGTTGTTTGTTGTTGTTGTTGTTGTTGTTGTTGTTGTTGTTGTTGTTGTTGTTGTTGTTGTTGTTGTTGTTGTTGTTGTTGTTGTTGTTGTTGTTGTTGTTGTTGTTGTTGTTGTTGTTGTTGTTGTTGTTGTTGTTGTTGTTGTTGTTGTTGTTGTTGTTGTTGTTGTTGTTGTTGTTGTTGTTGTTGTTGTTGTTGTTGTTGTTGTTGTTGTGTTGCTGTTGCTGTTGCTGTTGCTGTTGCTGTTGCTGTTGCTGTTGCTGTTGCTGTTGCTGTTGCTGTTGCTGTGTGTTGTTGTTGTTGTTGTTGTTGTTGTTGTTGTTGTTGTTGTTGTTGTTGTTGTTGTTGTTGTTGTTGTTGTTGTTGTGTTTGTTGGTAGTTTGTTGGTTTGTTGGTTTGTTGGTTTGTTGGTTTGTTGGTTTGTTGGTTGGTTGGTTGGCTGGCTGGCTGGCTGGCTGGCTGGCGGGCTGGTTGTTGTTCTTGCAACTGGGGCAAAAGCAGTTTAATCTGGGGTCCCTATCTTTAGTCGCCGAAGATGACTTACAACTCAGGCATGTGTGATCCCAAAAAAGACCTGGCCATTGCTTGCAACATGACCGCATCGGCCGGGCGCCGGGTGGCTATTGCGCGTGGGTTTCAGTCTACCTTGGGATCAACAAAACAAATGGGACACGATTGGGATTCCACCGGCAAGGCCGAGCCAATCCGAATCCGACTCCGAGGCCCTGGCACAGTCCAAATGCTGACTTTGCAATTCACCTCCTCATCTGAGCAGGGCCTCAAACGAGAACGACAAAAAGCGAGGGCTGAGAGGCTGCGCAAGTCGCGCTATTTTCGGAAAGAAGGAGGGTCATAACACCCTGAATTGGGGATACAGTTGGGATGGTTGTTCCCAAAGCTGGGAGTGTCTGTCAGCTCTGGGGGGGGCGGGGCCTGACAGTGGTGAGTCTGGTTCCTATTGGACGGGTCGGTGGACCCCGAAAGGAGCCTTTCCCCTCATGTGAGCAAGAAACAACAGGTGTTTGGAAGACAGCTCAAAAAACAAACTAAACATGAACAGAACCAACAAACCAATGTAAACGTATATGTATAAAAACAACATGCCAAGAACAGTGAAGCATTCAAATTCCCATTTTTTTTGCAGGGAACCACTCTGGATAACCTTGGCCACACATATCTGCTTTGTAAAAAGTTGGCTGTATGATGCTGTTTTTTGCTAGTTGATAGGAAAGCTAAAGCAAAACCAAAAGGCAAGCTAAGCCTGAACAAACAATATACCGGGGCAAAGCAAGTAACAGGTTACTCTAAAAAACCCTGACACTTGCTTCTGTCAAAGTATCCCACTCCGACAAATCTGCGTAACCATCTCACTTCCTGAGTTTCGCCAGGAAAAAACAACAAAACCTGTCATTTGAGTCAAATCGGGTGTGTCTATTCTTAGGGACCCCCCCCCAAAAAAAAAACAGAACAAGTTAAAGTGTTCCTTTTGGTTTCCGCCTCAAAACGCAAAAACAAAAACGGGGGTACCCGCAAAAAAAAAACAGACCCCCAAACAGGGATCCTTACATTATAGACCTGAACATTGCCTTCTAAATGGTGGGTTCCCTTTATGTTGGTGGAAAAAGCAACATGTTTCAAATGGTCGCAACATGGAGATCTTTTGAGGAGCCCTGGGGCGGCAGCTCGCGATTGCAGCCCGCCGTCTCGATCAATCCTTCTGGGCAGGGCCTGAGCTGCCGCCATGCCGCCATGCCCTGACCAGAGAAACGTAGGGGGCCACAGCCTCCACGAAGAACCAAATGGCGGTGGGTCAAAAAAACGGAATTCCAAAATGGGTTGCCCTGGCAAGTGGAAACAATGACTAAAACCCTGCGGTCTGCCCCTCCTGTTTTAAATTTGAGCCACACCCAAATGGCGAAGGGGCCTAAAGGGGAAAGGGCCCCACCCTGCAAACCCAAAATCAACCTCCGTCAGCTTGGTCCGAAATCCCTGACGGAAACGCAGCCAAATCTATAGAGGCTTGGAGCAACTCACAGAAGATAAATAACAACCTTCTGAAATCTCATCCCTCTGAATGTACTTGCGCAAAACAAACTGCCCCACAAGCTTCCCCGCCGCCCCGTGCAAGAAAGCCTCTAACAGGAGGGGCCTCTCTTATTTTCCAAAGAGAGGAACTCTTGATGCTGGAGCTAAGCTTTTTCCCAAAAGGTGCATGGGGTTCGTATTCCCGGTGTCTTTGCTTAATCCACCCTACCCCTGCCCCCCTTGTCTGGTCCCATTTCAAAGCTTGCAGGGTTTCTCGCCCTTTGAGCAACCCACAAACAAAATGATTTTATAAAATGGCAAGCAAAGGTGATGTGTCAGCCACGCAAGAGGGAAATCACAAACCTGCATGGGCAATGGTGAAAAGGGCCCCTTTTTGGCTGGTAGTTGGTTCCAAAGCAAGTCCAAGAGTTGTTCACTGACCAGGGCTCGTGTTTGTGGATCAACAGAGAGGACACCTCTGCGTTCTGGGAGGCTCTCATGGGAAACGCAAAAGTTCACCCCCATGTCTCTTCGTAGAAACGTTCAAGGTGGCCGCAAGACGATCACGTTTCACCCGCAGTTCGACTAGTGGAGTTCTTGGCAAAGCTCTGCACCAAGTGAGCACCAGCCAAGGTGGGGGCTGTAAGGCTTCTGAGAAGCCACCCTTGGAAGGACATTAGCCTTCGCGGGCAAAATGCACGAAAGAAGTAGTCGCGAACCCTCAGACCTCTCTTTTAATCCTTGGTGGGAATTCTTGCCGCACTCGCAAAACCTGCTTGACATGGGTCGGGCTCGCCTCCCTCGCCACTGGGTTACGAAACCATTGCCAACAAAACAGAAACATGAAATTGCACAGCTACCATTTTGAAGGGAGACTTGCCGTTTAGGGACACCAGTCCACCGTTCCTGAAACTGGGGCCAGCGCTTGCCACCGTGCTTCGGGTTCAGCTCAACCTGGAGTGACGCTTGAGGGCATCCACTTGAGCCGCGCCCGTTTCACCCATTCACTATGAAGGTCATATATGGTACCGTGTTCCGTGTTGCTACCCCCCCCAGATGGTATGGGTCCCCAGGACCCTCCCCCCGGCCCGAGACCCTGAGCCCCCAGATCCTGGCACCTATGGTCCCACCCCCCTGAACTCGCACCCCGACACCCCGGCACCCCCACCCCCAGGACAAGCCAACCCGCAACCACCCCTAAACCAACCCTAAATACACCCTAAACCAAACCCTAAAAAATAAACCCTAAACCTAAACCAACCCTAAACCAATCCCAAATCAACATAAACCAACCCTAAACTAACCCTAAACTAACCATAAATACACCCTAAATACACCCTAAACCAATTCTAAACCAACCCTAAACCAACCCTAAACCACCACAACCCAACCACAGGACCACAACCTCAGGGGGGGGTACTTGTCTGACCCATGACCATTGGGGTGGGGTGGGGGGGTGGGGGGGGGTGGGGGGGGGGGTTGGGGGGCGGGGTGGCAACGCTAGAATATATATATAATTTATGGTACTGGCCTTATAAAGGTCTACATAAGGTGTATAAGGTCATACATACATGACTATAAAGGTTCCACCATCATGGACATAAAGGTATGTAGTTTAGTGTGTATATATATATAGGCTTTACTATTCCTTGTTCAACCAGGTAGTGGAGCCACCACCAAAATGGCCTTGGGGGGTTTTGGGCGCTTCTAGTTTGTGTTACCAACCTTTGTTTTTTTCCCAGGTGTTTTAACCCTTTTTTTCTGCCATATTTTTTAGCTTGGAGCCAGAGCAGGGGGAGCCGTGGCAAGGTAAAAAGCATGACCAACTAGTCGTGATATTTCTAGTGGCCATTTGGCGACAAACATAGCAACCATGGGGAAAAACCTCACATATGCGTTTGTGTTTCTTGAAGGGTACCCGCTGTGGGGTGGTTGAAGGGAAACCAAAGGGAGTTTGACCATTTTGGGGCTCCACTATTTTGGAAAAAACAAACAGTATGTGATCTCGTAATGTGGGTCATGGCACGTCATGGTGGTTCCCTCAAAGGAATCGAAAGGAAAACCTAGGATCATTTTGAAACAATATACCCCTGGCTGATCAATAGGGGGCTGTTCCGGAAGCCCAAGGAGTCCGGGGGCGTCAGTTTGACAAGACAAACAGGAAAATCCAGACCAGCGGGTGCTCCGCCCATGTTTCTTAGAGGACCTCTGATTTGTGGGCAATAGTCTGGGGAAAAAATCAAACCAAAAAGGATTGGGGTGGAAGCACAAGGGAAATCATCCTTTCTTCAACTTTCGGTTGGCTGTCTTTAAAACGGACACCAACCATGTATTCGCCCACATTTGAGAGAATTACACAGAACATACAATGTTCAGAACCCGTGTCATTCAGTCTACCCGGAAATGACACACATCTTTGGAGGAGACCCCAGTTTTTCGCCATAGGTGTTCAAGAGCCTCAGCTCTCCGCACGACCTCCGAACTGAAAACTCGCCTGGCGCTGGCGCTGCATTTGCCCGCCGTCGCAGGACTTGTCGCCTCGGAGAAAACGATCGCAGCCGGGGGGGGTTTGGCGGCTGGTGCGAGAGGGAAGGTGGGAATGAGGCTTTGGGCCCCTTAGAAGCCAGTTGGATGGGTCCATGGGTCATTCACTCATTCCCTGACCAGCAAGCTAGAAAGAACCTGGGTCTCAAATAGCCCTAGTTGCCCTAGTTTGAGTTGGCTTAAACCGCGATTTTGGTCGCCATGGTCTGTACAAATCGATTTGGTCGTCCATGTCTAAACCTGGTTCAATTATTTCGACTACCATCACTTCGAGTGGTCTGTTTAAGACTGGCAGATATCTCCTCTTGGATGGTGTTTAAGCCGAAACCCAAAAGCTGAGCTGACGGTGTTTCTTCTTTCCGCCCAAATGCTTGGCTAAACGGATCTGACCCCCTGCATCAAGTGAATCTGTTGTTGCTTCAAGGAGAAAAAGAAGTACACCCAACAGGGTCTGAAGAGTTCAGTTGAGTCTGGGAATGAATAGGGTCCCCTGGTCGTGTGCCATTTTTTGTTTTAGGATATATGTCCATTTAATTCAAAACCCGTGACGGTTCCGGGCGCTGCTCGCTTGCTCAAGTGAGTAACGGGCGGCACTACGCACTTAGGGTTCAGTAGCTACTTGCCTGCCGGGTTGGCGGGCCAATCGGGAACATATGCTAACCCCTCTCCCAAATGAATCACAGACCAATAAGTAAGGTTGTGCATTGCTCGAATGACCTTGGAAGAACAGGCAAACCTTTTGAAACCTAGACCAAGCAAGAACAAAACATGACAGTAAGAAGGACCTAGACCAAGCAAGAACAAAACATGACAGTAAGAAGGGCACCATCCATGATGTCTCCCCAACAAGGGCAATGTCGCAGTGAGCTGGCTTTACTCAAGGCCCCGATATGTCCCCTTCAAGCGTCATCCCCCCCCCAAAAGGAAGGGTCACTCTAAATTGGCCCAGAAGGTAATGTTTAACACCACTAAACCTGTTACTTCCTCTGGCATGAAGTTCTCAGCTGCCCTGTTCCGCCACAGGCATTTCTGTCTTTTCCCGCCTCAAACAGCCTTGCAGTGTTAAGACAAACAAACAGACAAACCCAGTTAAACCCTCTGCCTCTCCGCCGTCCTGACAGCCTGAGCGCCGAGCACATGTCCCAGGGGGTCCATGGGCTGATCACGCAGTCCACCGCGATCATGCAAGCACGAATCTGCGCGAGGTTTGGTTTCGTCCCCCTTGGCTGGTTTGCCTTTTGGCTGGCAAGGAACGTGTGACGCCATGGAATCTGAAACTCCCAACAGCAAAACGGGATACACCATCAACAATTTCATCTTTGAAGCCTCGTGGTTTAGGGGTAGTGGAAACACTTTTAGATTTGTCCCTTTCTTTTTTTGGTTGTCTGTGTGTGTGTGACAAAAGGAAGACCGACATTACATTTTATTTGAGGCGCCTAGTTTTGACACAGGGGTTTGCCACACAGGGGTTTGCCAGGGTTTACCTCTCACCCTGCCCTCCCCCGCCCTTGCCTTGGGGGACAAAACAAAGTGAATGTGTCCCTAGAAGTGTAGAAACCCTCGTCAAGACACTGGTCGTTGGAACTTAGGCAAGCAAATTCCTCTTTTCTTTGACACACACTTGCCGAGGTCAGAACCTACATAGCAAGGCAACCACATGCAAGCTGAAGAAATCCAACTTGGTCCCTACTTCTGGCTCTCTTTACTTTGCCATGATCAAAGTCTCTCGTTGGCATTCAGCGTATCTGTCAACGGCGACCGATCTCCGGCGACGAAACAAAATCCCGGCGATCGCCTCTTTCAGATTGCCAACGCAGGGCTTGCCGTCCTGCGAAGGCCGATGCTGGCCCTCATCAGGTGCCGTTCTTGAGGGTCTTGTTGCTTGGATTTCAGCGAAGCCCAAAAAGAAATGGCACATTTTCTGGATGTCTGCTTCAAACGTTGGCAATCCCGTGTTCCTTTGTTTTAAAGGAAGATCAAAGAGACACCACTTGTGGAGTGCTGCAACTAGTATCAAAACCGGGTTCAGCTTTGGATTTTGGAGGGGGCGTTTATATGCAGTGAGTGTGCAGTGTGTAAGGCAGCATGTACCCCTAGCGTAACTGTATAAGCTTGGTCCATACCTCATTTGGTACCAAATTGAAGCCGCCCATGGCAGGAATGGCAAAGTCGCACACCAAAACCCTTGGCGGGGTCGCGAAGACATTTGCCCCAAGGGCTGAATGCATCGTTGCCCCTTTCACTGGGTCCATACATGTCGCCTTTCAAAATCACAGCAGCAAACAGATCTTTAACATGTCTAAAAACGGTGTGGAGATGTCTTGCACCCCACTGACAGGGATGATGGGTCCTCGGATCAACAGTGTATGCCATTGCCATATTGTAAGTAAACCAACGACACTCAACCACAAAACCATACAACAAAATACGGTAGATTAGGGGGTGCTCGTTCCCTGACTTGCAACATTGGGGGCATCTACTGAGTCACCACTAAAATCGTCTAGGGGTGACTGTTTGTGTTCAACGATGCGACCCAAGTGGCGTGTAAATCATTTCGTTGGGGACATCTAGGCGTCCTGCTGTCCCGTTCAGACATCCCTCCACCAAAACAGGCGACATACACTCACTGCAAAAAGGGATGTCCAAGCTGGCCATCTTCAGCATGAAAATGATGCGTGGGAGGTTGCACCCCCGGACTCATGACCGCAAGCGGCAAAAGGCCAGGCCGACCCCAGAGCCAGTCCTTCAAAGGCTCCACCGCGATGGTCCTGTATCTCTCCTCGCAAAACATGAGCAAAGGCACGGACAGCGCTCGGCAATTGCAAACCACTGAGGCAACCGCATGACAAAAACAACTTTATCTATGTAACAGACATGTTGTACGTATGAATGAACGCATGCCCGTGTAACAACGTTCAAAGGTGTTTATATATATATATAATACGAATGTATGTATATGCGTGGTTGTAGTTCAATAGAACCCCTTCTCACCCCACTGAGAACGATCTCCAAGCCCCAACGCGCATGCGTGGGTCCCGCTGGTCGTGGGAGTCGCAGTGGCTCCAACTGGCGGAAGGCCGATGCGGCGAGGGTGAGGCGGTCGTGGGGGCCATGCCTTGGGTATCTCCATGTTGGGATCCCTCACAAGAATCTACCATGGTTGTATGGGTTTGTGTCCACCTGGGTTAGCCTGGGTATAACCCACCTGGCTGAAGTCCGCTCACGAAACTTTTCTGCGGTTTGGTGCTCTTTGCTACCTGGGTAAAACTCACTATGGCTTAAGTCGAAGTCAGTCAAAGGGAGGTTATAAGTGAGCAACAGCCAAGAAAACAAACAACTTGCTACCCTCGTTCTAATAATGGAAGTGAACAGGGAGTCCCGCAAAAGGACAGTAGCCTTCCAGAACCCACCTGTCATTCCATGACTTCAGGGTAAACCAAAGCCAACCCCTCCATCTACTGGGAATGGCCAGGTATTCCCACTCATCAAACACCCCGGCCCCTCCCCCACTTAAGGCCTTGTGTGGTCTCATTTGGCCTTATCATCGAAGTCTTGTGGAAAGTCGTCATCTTCCCAACCAGTAGCCAGGTGGAATGCCCACAAGGAGTCCCAAGCAATTTCCGGCTCCCGGTCAAACCAAAAGCATCACCTCGACCAATCTAAGTCGGCCTGACGGATGGGTATAAAACCCAAACAGGGACACCTGGACCACGGGGATTCTTCTAGATGTGCTGTTCAAACATCGCGCCTCCAAACATTGTATGCACGTACTCACTGGCAACAAGGCGAACGTTTGAGTTAAGCTGGCATGAAGGGACATATGATGAACTATGGTTCTGCAAGTTCTACAATCATACCAAGTCCGGAAACAAGCGATCTCCAAGTAAAGGACCTAAAACATGGTGGGCTCGTTTGCCCGAGGTGAGCTCGCCATAAAGTAGTCAGAACTACAAGTGTAAGACCCCAATTCGGCAGCTCAAGAAGTCGGGTGCGGCGCGGTTCAAAACGTGGCGAGGCAGCTCTGACCAAGGGGAAAGCTGGCAGTCTCTGGTCTTGTCATCGCCACCTGCATGGCATCAGCTGGAGGTGCGTGTTTGTTTGTTTGTTTGTTTGTTTGTTTGTTTGTTTGTTTGTTTGTTTGATTGTTGTGTTTGTTTGTTTGTTTGTTTGTTTGTTTGCTTGCTTGCTTGCTTGTTTGTTTGTTTGTTTGTTTGCTTGTCTGCTTGCTCGTTCGTTTTGTTTGCTTGCTTGCTTGCCTGCTTGTTTGTTTGTTTGCTTGCTTGCTTGCTTGCCTGCTGGTTTGTTTGATTGTTTCTTGGTTTGCTTGCTTTTCTTGAGGGTATCTTGGTTTAGAGGGAAACTGAAGGAAACCCCCGTTCTTGCCTTGCTGGCATTTCCTTGCTGGCGTGGATCCGGCTCATTCCCAACTCGAACGATTCCAAATACCCCTTTTCCAACCATATAGACAAGGAACCTTCTTAAAGAACACGGTCTTCCAAAATCCTGTCCACTTCGCTTGGACAACGGGCATTTGCACAATTCAATAATTCAGTGACAACAACGAACATTCATTTCTCAGATTGTCACATGGAACCTCAAAACACATAGTCCAACATGCTCACATGGAACCCAAAAAGCTCCGCATCCCAACAGCCGATTCCTACGGATCTCAGCAAAGGAACATGGAACCCGAGAAAACATCTCCCCAGGCAACGAGAATGATTGGAACCAAATGAGCACGGACCCTAACATCTCCCGAAAAAGGGTAGGAAAAGGTGCGTCCCAACTGTGGAAATTGACCCCCCCCCCTTTTGTAATGGTGTTTTGTGGAAACCATCAATTTGTGTGGCTCCAAGGAGATTCCGACTGATCTCAGCAGCCCACACTTCTCCAGGTTGCAGGGCACCAGCTCCTCCAGGCTGCCCTGAACCGGCCAGCGGCTCTGAAAACCGAAGCGAAGGGGGCCTTAAAAAGCGCCTGAACAAAAAGTGAGGGGCCAAAAAAGGGGTACCAAAGGAAAACCAAAGGGAAACCGAGGGAAGTAGGAAGGGTCCAAATCGCAAGGGCGTTATTGTGTTTTATCAGGGTTCGCTGGATCTCCCTTTCCACTCAAACTGCCACTTTCGGAGGGTCCAAAAAGGGAAATGGAGAAAACCTGCTCTCTGTTGCTTTGCGAATATTGGGACGTGACTACAATCATCGGGGATACCGGAAGTGGCCAGGAGCCAGTCTTGAAGCAACGGGGTACCTGGGTGGGCACCTGAGCATTTCATAGTTCCCTCATGCAATGGGTGTCCCTGAAAGAAGTTGCCTTTCTGGGTCGGCTAAAGGGGACACCAAAAGGACACCACCCATTTTGGGTCTTCCTTCTTTTGAGACAAACCGACATACATACCAGCGCCATGGAATTGGGCGTTACCTTCCTGCAACAAGTCGTGGCTTGCTGGTTCCCATTTGGATTTGCCCAGGGATCTTTGGGGCTTTCCTGGATGTCCTGTCAAAGCCATCCAGAAGCCCGGACTGTGGGTTCCTTCTATCTCTACCTCCGGCTCATGGCTAGTTTGCTTGCAATATTTGGGGGATCAACCGTACGTTCAGGGAAATCAACTGCATCTCTATGTTGTCAAACATCAGCTCAAGCCTGAAATGGCAATGGCATACTTCGCTGTGTGTCATGGTCGTCAAATGGTCTTTTTGACTTGGGGTTGGTACAGTGGATGAACGAAATCCTGCACCATTGGGGATGGATGACTTTCTATGAATATGGGAAAAAGCGCCCACCAACTGGTAAAGGGGATTGTCCACATGGATGGTCGTGAATCCCTTGATGTGGGATTTGGACCATCAAAAGGCTTCCTAGTTCGTGACAGTGACTGACATAAAGCGGGCACATGTCAGGAATCAAATGGTAGGCTGACACGTGGATGGCATGGGGTGTATGATGTGCAAGTTAGTCTCCACCCTTGCTTCTTGACCTGCTTGTCAATCCTGAGACAAAGCCTTGATTGCGTCTTGTGAGGCCAAGTTGAAACGGCGAACAAGCCTCCCCATCGAACACAGGAGGTAAACACATCCAACAACCGCGGAGTCCCAATCAAATATGATACGTGTCACAGGAGTCTACCCAACATGTTCTGCAAAGGCGGAAGGCCGGCTAATTTCATAGTTGGTGATGTGAGCGTTTCTCAAAATCGGGGGATCCCAAGAGTTGGTTTGGGGATCCCAAGAGTTGGTTTCCCTTTGGTTCTCCTTGGAATCGATCCAAGGGTCCTTCAAACAAAGACCCACCCATATCCCACGTGTCCTCAAAATTTATTGCAATGGTTTCGGGTTTGGCTCAGCCCTTACTTCGCTTTTCTCGGTCGAACGGACACTCCCACAAACCTTGGGGCAAGCAACCCTGTTGATGGGTAAATCGGATTGTGCACTCAAGCTTTCAGATCTGGATGTGTCCAAAATAAGCATCCCCACTTGAACTGTGTTTGAAGGGAACTCCAAAAGCACATCGTAGCCGTTCCTGGGGATTGCATTTGCTATGTGAGCCACGAGTCCTACCTCAGCTCTGGCGACCCAATCCAATATGTTCCATTCCGCTCCCTGCTTAGACATAATAGTCAAATCTGATCGTCCACCAAACACGGACCCAACATTAACAGAGATCGCATCAGAGTCGACTCGGCCAAAAACAAGCATCGCGCGCGGTGCGCCTGGCAAGGCGTGCCGCCGCCAAAGGGCGGCGTACGAATGCCCCGGTTCCTGGGGGCAGTCAAGGTTTTCCCTCGGGAGGTGGTTTCAAGCTGAAAAGGGTACCTTCAAACAAGTACACTTCAATGTTCAAGCTATAAACCATAGTCATAGTCGCCGTATAACCAAGGCTATAACCGACTTACTGAGCCCAAGTGGCTTGAACATCCAAGTAGGGCGACTCTGCCCACCAGAATTGTTCTCGGCAAACCACAGCTTGCACAGTTCTCGGTCGAAAGCACCCATCTACATGTGGTGCAAAAGCAAACGCACGGGGGGGGAGGGGTTCCTGGGCTTCAGGCAAGCTGCAGCTTGGTTGTGAAAACTGCGGGCCTCATGTTGGGACCAGATTTTGGGTAGCAGGAGTAGGGATTTTCTCTCACCCAGGGGGGAAAGGTGGGAGACTGGAATTGTCTGCTCTCCCTGAACGCCCTACGAAAGACCTTGAGGACACGAGTTGTGCACGAAAATGGGTCAGATCAAGAATTTACATATATATATATATATACACATTAACAAATACACAATATAATCAATTTTTATAGAACCATTTATGATTACAGTAATGTAAATAGACTATTCAGTTTTTAGTTGAGAATAATTATGCTATATATATATATATATATGCAGTACGAAAACAAATACTTCAACTGATACATTTATCCGCATTTTGCGCCACCTTTTCGGGGGTCCCATTTTTGTTACAACTTTTCTGCTGGGCATTCGCAAACGAAGCCACGAGGCGAGGGTTTACACTTTGAACACGATCAATGTGTTGATGCTCTTTTGATTGGAGACCAGCCTCAGTGCTTCCTGTTGTCACTAGTATTCAACTAGGGTGTCTTGCTTCTAGGCTTTACTTTATTGATTGACCTGGTTACCTACTAGGCTGGTACCTTGAAGCGCTATGAGGCTCAAAAACTTGTCTTTCTGCTGGCCGCAAGCTACCTGCAAAGCCCGGCCTTTTTGTGCTCGGGTGGAGGGGACATCAGACATGGTCCCAAATGAAGCCACTATGACACACCGTAAGAACCAAATAGGTGCTTCTAAAAGATTGGGATCGATTCCTCCAGGTGATTGGTTTCCTTGTGGATTCCTTTCAAAACGCCAAAAGGGATCCCCAATCCTGAGAAACACCCAAATGAAGTTTGACACATCCCAGATCAACCTCCGTGGTATCCACGGAATCAACCTCGCAGTTAAAGGTAATCCGGATCTTGACGGGACATCCTCCTTACTGCTCAAGGAATAACTAATGGGTATGTCAAAATAGAGCCTTTCGTCATCCTTCCCTCTCACTGGTGCTTTTGATTGGTGGTTTGGTGGTTGAGAAGAGGTTCCCATGTACCTTCTACAAGAACAGGGGTTCAAATCCCCAAACCACCAATCCAAACTACGAACCAAGGGGTACCTGATTTCAAACCCCTAGAAAGAAAACAAACCTACGTTGATCCTGAGTTCCAGAGTTCCCAAATAAGACAAGCGGGAACACCCCAGAAAAGGACCACATCATTGTTTTCGCTCTTTGTACCCCCATGCCGACTTAAGAATTTGCAAAGCGTTGTCAAACAACAGGGTTCCTATATTTTCTCCCCAACACATCACCCCTAACAAGAAAAACTCACCTTACATGGGCCAAGAAGGTCATGTTTCAGGTGGCCAAGCAAATAAAAATCGGACCCCTGGACGAGGGGCCTGTGCTTGATGCCGCCGTTGCAGAGCTCGGAGCACCTGAGCGTCAGACGGCTTGAATTGTCCGGGCATGAAAATAAAGAAGATCAACGGGCAAATGTGTATGTATGAAAATAGTATAAAAAGAGAGAGTGATACACACATACACACTGAAAGTTCCTGGTATGAACGCCTACTGCGTGGCAAACTAATCGCAACTTACTTATGGCTAAAGTATGGGAACCAGTCACAAAGGGGACCAACACGGCCATGCAATAACATATGATCAGTCACTTTCAAAACTGCCTTGTTTCCCCAAAAGACATGGGGCGATGAGTGAGCGCCCTTGTTTTCGTGGGATGTTTTTTTTTTTTTTTTTAATATAAATTATGGATAAGTTTGGAAAATGTTGGATATCAACCATTGAGGGTAACACAGGAGTGGTGTTGGAAAGGGGAAGTCTGGCAACATGAACGGCTGTGCTCCTGAACCAGCATTTGCTGCCTGGGCGCGTGCATGTGTGTGTGTGTGCCAACGGTACAATGTTGCGTAGCCCCTCTGCACAGATTGCGCACCGCCCAAGCTGGGAAAACCATGTTGCAGTTTGCGGTCTGGCCGCATTTTAGCCATTTTGCCAGTAGCAGTGGCAGACTGCTC